TCTGTAGTACTGTTTATTACAGGTGTAATAATCTGTAGTATTTTTATTACAGGTATAATAATTTGTAGTATTGTTTATTACAAATGTAATAATCTGTAGTATTGTTAATTACAGGTGTAATAATCTGTTGTACTGTTTATTACAGGTGTAATAATCTGTTGTACTGTTTATTACAGGTGTAATAATCTGTAGTACTGTTTACAGGTGTAATAATCTGTTGTACTGTTTATTACAGGTGTAATAATCTGTAGTACTGTTTACAGGTGTAATAATCTGTTGTACTGTTTATTACAGGTGTAATAATCTGTAGTACTGTTTATTACAGGTGTAATAATCTGTAGTACTGTTTATTACAGGTGTAATAATCTGTAGTACTGTTTATTACAGGTGGAGGAGCTGCAGCAGGAGAACCAGGGGAGTCTGAAGAAGCTGCAGGAGACGGCGGATCAGTTCGAGTGGCTCTGTCAGCAGCAGCGCTGCTGGATCTGTTGTGTCAGAAGGTTAATTTAATCTGAGCTTTCATTTAATCCAAACATCAAGAAATAAATTTAATCTAGTTATTAAAAACAAAAACTGAATCTTTGTAGGCTTCCTTAACCTGAATTAATTTCAAACTTTACTCAGAAACCAAGAAACGTAGATTTTTTTAACTTCCTGTTTTAGACTTTAAGATGACGGAACGTAATCTGAGCTGGTTTTTTTTTCCTCCTTAGGTTCAAAGATTGTCTGACGGAGGAGAGGGAGACTCTGCTGAGACGGGTCAGTGTGTTGGAGAAGAAGCTGCAGGAACAGAACCTGGGTTCACATGATGGAGGTCAGGACCTCCTCCACCCCCTGCAGGCTGCAGACAGGTGTGACAGGTGAGGACCAGCCCAAACAGGAAGTACAGATCAGTAAACATCATGATTATACCAATCTGCTAATCCAGATTAAAACTCAGTGACAATCTGTTTTTGTTCCAGTTTGACATCATGGGACACAAACACAGATCTGAAGTCTCAGGTGGAAAACTCTCACCTGTTGTACGAAGAGTTCTTCACTCAGGTGAGAGTTTAAAAGATGTTGTTACTTTTCTTATTCCTCTACCTCCGATCTGTATCGGGTCAGGGAAGTATCAGACACCGTCTATTTAACTACACGTAGCTGGACAATTTTTAGTTAGCCTTTTGCTACTTTTAGCTTTAACTGCTAAATGGTACTTAAAGCTAAAAGCATCAAAACTCTGATTAAAAGCTACAAGTAACTAAATAATAGTTAAAATAAGAAGTAACAAGAAGCTAGCTAAAAGGAAAATGTAACAAATCTGTAAAAGGGTTGGTAAAATTTTACGATTTAAATAGTAATTAAAGCAAAAGTATTAATAGCGTAATAGTAATTAAAACTAAAAGTAATGCAAAGCTAACTAAAAGTGCTAAAAGTAGCAAAAGGCTACTTAAAAGCTAAATAGTAGTTGAATTAAACATAGCAAGATGCTAGCTAAAAGCAAAATGAAACAAACCAGTAAAATGCAAAAAACATTTTTAGGTAACAAATTGGTAGTTAAAGCTCAAAGTACCAAACGATTAGCTAAAATTAGCTAACGAGGTTAGAGGTAAAATGAGATAAATAGTAATTAAAGCGAAAAGTAGTGAAAGGCTAGCCTAAAGTTATTAGAAACTAAATGGTAATTAAAGCTAAAAGTACACAAAAGCTAACTAAAACTAGTAAAATGCTAAAAATAGCAAAGGGCTAATTGAAGGTAGAGGGAAATAAATGGTAGTTAAAGTAAAAAGTAGCAAGAAGCTAGCTAAAATAAAAATGTAAAAAAGGCTAGCATAAAAGCTATAGGTAGTGTAGTGATTTTATGTACTGTGCCTTTAAGAAATGTGAACGCGCCTCCGAGCGGGTGCGCGCCCTTTTTGGGCAGTCTACTTTTACACCTTGCTGTGATGACCTGTCCCCAGATGTCTCGCTAATAAAACTTGTCCAGAAGCTGAAGATTATCGTCATCTTTTTTCATTCCTGTGTTTGCTGAAGGAGTTTTTTAACATTCAACAACTTTCAGGAAGACGCCCTGTGATTTTCCAGCAAACCAGGAGAGCAGCAGCAGAAGAGAGGAGACTGAGGGAACAGCCGCCAACAGACAACCTCTCCCAAAAGTGAACCGAGCCGGACACGACAGTAGCTAAAATAAAAAGCCAAAAGTAGCAAAATGCTAACTAAAAGTTGGCTAAATGGTAGTTAAAGCTAAAAGTAGTTAAAGCTAGCTAAAAATGTAAGTATCTAAAAGTCAGTAAAAAGCTAAAAGTAGCTAATTAGTTATTAAAGCAAATAGTAGTAAATGCAAGCTATGCTATTAGTAGCTAAATGTCAATAATGCTAAAAGTAGCAAAAATCTAGCTAAAAGTAGCAAAAAACTAACTAAAAGTAGCAAAAGGCTAATTAAAAGCTGTAGATAAATAAATGGTAGTTAAAGTAAAAAGTAGCGAGAAGCTAGCCAAAAGCAACATGTTTAAAAAACAACTAAAAGCTATAGGCAGATAAAAGCCAGTAAAAAGCTAAAAGTAGCAAAATGCTAGCTAAAAGTTATAGGTGGCTAAATGGTTTAGCTAAAAGTAGTAAAAAGCTAGCTAAAATTGTAAGTATATAAAAGTCAGTAAAAAGGTAGAAGTAGCTAAATAACAAATAAAGCAAAAAGAAATGAACTAGCTAAAAGCTATTTGTAGCTAAATGTCAATTAAAGCTAAAAGTAGTAAAAAGCGAGCTAAGTTAGTAAAATGCTAACAGTAGCAAAAGACTAATTAACAGCTATATGTAACTACATGGTAGTTAAAGCTAAAAGTAGTGAAAAACTAGCTAAAAATAAAAAGCTAGAAGTAGCAAAAGTATATTTAAAAGCTATAAGTAGCTAAAAGCTTAGATAAAATCAAAATGTCACAAGTCCAGATACCCTGCAGAGAAAACTCATTTGGACCTCCTGGATCCAGTATCCTTGTGGTCACTGCTCAGAGTCCAGGACCACAGGTGAGGGTAGGACCGTAGACCAACAGGTAAACAGAGCTTCACCACACGGACCAGCAGACCCACTGTGGGTCCAACAGAGACCGGTTTCATGTCTTCTCATGTTTAAATCTCAGAGTCAGGCTGAAGCAGAACCAGGACCACAACATCTACATGAAGGGGCCCTCAAGTCCCCGCTGGACTTACTGTCCCGCCAGGACACTCGTAAAATTAAAGCTTCATCCATTCCAGCTCCTTTTGATTCCTTCAGTCCGTCTGATGTAAAAAGTTTGGGGGATTTGAGGAAGTTTTAGTTTAAAAGCTATTTTGCAACCGAACCAACCCACAAAGCCCCAGAAACTGGTCCAGGAGGCTTTCCTTGAATCCCGACAGGACCTCAGACACTTCATCCTTCTGGAGGACTTTATGATAAAAACGTGTTTGCTGCTCGGGCCTCATCCTGCCGTCCAGCGACACACGACTTCCTCCCAGCCTGCTCCCAAACAGCAGAAATAACTGCAGGACGTGAGGCCGGCAGCAGCCTCGGAGCTCCTCTCCTCGCTGCATTTCTTTGGGTAATTACTCTGATTGAGTGCAGATGATTTTTTTTTTCAGTCCCCGCAGAGCTGAGAGAGTGAGGAAATTTCTCTGGGGGAGCGGTGACTCTCAGAGACACAATAAAAATGGATTTCCAGCTCAAACATGATTTGTAGAAAACGTTTCAGACGAGTTTTGTTAATAAGCAGCTAAATTTATCAGAGTTCTGTTTGAATTAAGTCCTGATGCTTTCTGTGGTGTGTAAACCCTGAAAACACGACATAAGTCCTTTAACAAAAAAAATAAAACATTGATTAGTCAGGTTTGACTAGCTGTTAGCTTCAGTCTAACTAGCTGTGAATTTAAAAAGCTGTAAGTTCATTTCTGACTAGCTTTAGCTCGAATTTGACTAGCTGTTAGCTTGAAGTGGCTGGTAGATCAACTCTGAGTAGTTGTTAGCTTGAGCCGGACTAGTTTGACGTTTAGCTGGCTGTTAGCTTAATACAGATTAGCCATTAGCTTGAGTGGTAAACTTTAGTCTAACCAGCAGTTATTTACTTTACTGGCTGTTAGTTTGTTTCTAAGTAGCTTCTAGATAGACTAACTAGCTATTAGCATTAGTCTGTTTAACTGTTAGCTCAAAACTGGGATTTCAACTCCTAAATGGTTGTTTGCCTGAATCTGGGTAGTTTTTAGCTTGATGCTAACTTACTAATAGATTGACTCTGACTGATTGATAGCTTGAATCTGGGTAGTTTTTAGCTTGATGCTAACTTGCTAATAGATCTCTGACTGGCTGTTTGCTTTAATGAGTAGTCGTTAGCTTGATGCTAACTTGCTGACTCGACTTGTTGTTAGCCTGAATCTAGGTAGTTTTTAGCTTGATGCTAACTTGCTAATAGATTGACTCTGACTGGTTGTTAGCTTGAATCTGGATAGTTTTTAGCTTGATGCTAACTTGCTAATAGATAGACTCTGACTGGCTGTTTGCTTGAATCTGGGTAGTTTTTAGCTTGATGCTAACTGGCTAATAGACTGACTGACTTGCTGTTTGCTGTTAGCTTGATGCTAACTTGCTGACTCGACTTGTTGTTAGCCTGAATCTCAGTAGTTTTTAGCTTGATGCTAACTTGCTAATAGATTGACTCTGACTAGCTGTTTGCTTGAATCTGGGTAGTTTTTAGCTTGATGCTAACTTGCTAATAGATTGACTCTGACTGGTTGTTAGCTTGAATCTCAGTAGTTTTTAGCTTGATGCTAACTTGCTGATAGACTGACTGGCTGTTTGCTTTAAAGTGAGTAGTCGTTAGCTTGAAGCTAACTTGCTGTTTCTTGACTTGTTAGCTTGAATCTCAGTGGTCTTTAGCTTAATGCTAACTTGCTAATAGATTGACTGTGACTGTCTGTTATCTTGAATGTAAGTAGTTACTGATGCAATCTTCAACAACAGTTTGTTTTTCTGTCCTCAGGCACAAAGTCCCATCAGTCGATACCAAGAACCTCCTTGAGGCTAAAGACCTGGAGCCTGAATTCATCTCTGCTGTCTGCCTCTAACTTCAGTCAAACAGAAGATAACTGCTCGGTGTTTGTGGCTGCAGATGTGTGGATTGCTTTCCAGTCATTGTTTTAAAACATTCCAACAATTGTGAGGAAAAACGTACCTGTAAAACCTCATCTTTACTGCTTTTTCCCCACTGTTGTTTGCAGTGATTTATGACTGAAGTAAATTACACACAGATCGCTCCTGTTCCTCCTCATGTTGTCACACATGCACATCACATGTGCCTCAAGTTGTCTGCTCACATTTTTCAGTAATTGTCCATTTTTCAAACCTTGTAATCAGCACTGCTAATAGGAGCACCTGAGAATGCTCCGAGTGTTGTTCGGCCAATAAAACCTCAGCTGGTGCACAGAGAAACAAACGTGGATGTTGTTGTTTTCTACCACAATAAAGCTCCAGCATTGTTTCATCTCTGGTTTGGGGCATCTTGTCTCCTGATTACTTCCTTTAACTTGTCGTTTTTTGTTTTTTCTTTTCTTAAAGCAGGAACCTTTGCATCACAAAGTAATTTGGTGCAGATTAACAACAAAAACTCATTTGCTGAGCAGATGATGCACACATGGTGTTAAACAGAGATCTGTTAAAGATAAGAGCTTAGATTTTCACAGATTATTTAAGAAATTTTTTTAGAGTTGTGGAGAAACGCTTCAAACCAGGGATGTTTGTGGTATTTTCTCATTAAATCGTCATTTTAAGTATTTCAGCTACATTTTTGAGGTCAGGACCCTTATCTGGTGTGTTTTGTTCTTTCTTAAATCGAAAAATCATAAGTTTTCTTCAGAAATGTAAAAGATGTTTGTTAGTAAACAAAGAACTGAACAAATCAAAATGTGTGTTTAGGGAAATTACGTTAAAAGTGCCTGTGACTTCAAATTTATCTAAGATATATGAACACATTTTTTGAAAGATAACATTAATAACATAATGCAAAACTAATTTCACACTGCTGAGATGAACAGTTGTTGAGATATTTGCATGTGAGGAAACAGGAAGTGACATCAAAGGGGAATGTCTGCATGTGAACAGTGCGTTGCATCAACAGCTAACACAGACTGTAGAGAAGAATCAAAATTTCTTTAGACTATTTTGAGTCACCATCAGAGAGATGAAGAACAGTTAAAGTTTAAATATTGCTTCAATAAAGACCAGAGTTGTCTTTTTTAAAGCATTCCCCGTTGATGTCACTTCCTGTTTCACATTAGCTGAACCAAGTTCAAAAGAAAATGTGCGATTTATGTGACAAAATGAGTAAAATATGTGTATAATGCAAAGTTTCTTAACTATAAAGTTGTTTTCTTTGACTTTCTGTTTGAAGGATATACACATCACAGGCACTTTCATGCTAAAAAAGTGAAAGGCTAGCTATAAGCTAGTCAAAGCTAAAAAAAAAGTGAAGAGCTAGCTAAAAGCTATGAGCTATACCTTTGGTAAAGATAAAAACAGTAAAAGGCTAGCTATAAGCTATACTATAGTTAGCTAGCTATAAAAAGGTATTTAGCCTTTTTATAGCTAGCCTTTTTTATCTAAAAGCTAAACTTTGATTAAAGCTAAAAAGTGGAAGGCTAACTAAATGCTATAAGTTAAACTGTAGTTAAAGAGATAAGTAGTAAAAGTCTAGCTAAAAGCTAAACTTTAAATAAAGCTAAAAAGCAGAAGGCTAGTTAAAAGCTATAAGCTAAAGTTTGAAGCAGTAAAAGCCTAGCTAAAAGATAAACTTTAATTAAAGCTAAAAGTGGTAAAAGGCTAGCTAAAAATCAAAAAGAAAAAAATTGTGTAGGTCTTCTGGACGGTGAAAATGAAGACCCCAAACCCAGACCCAAACCAGTGGTTATTCCGTATGTTGCGGGTGTTTCGGAGAAACTGAGACGTTTATTTTCTAAACATGATGTCCCAGTGGCTTTCAAACCCCAAAACACATTACGGCAAAGGCTGGTTCACCCCAAAGATCCGGTGCCCCGGCACAAACAGAGCAATGTTGTATATGCTGTTAAGTGCCAGGAGGACTGCGACCAGTTATACATCGGGGAAACAAAGCAGCCACTGTTCAAAAGAATGTCCCAACACAGACGAGCTACAACTAATGGGCAGAACTCTGCAGTTTTCACTCATTTACAGGCCAGCGGTCACTCTTTCAGAGATGAGGATGTTCTCATTCTTGATAGAGAGGAACGTTGGTTTGAGAGAGGAGTAAAAGAAGCCATTTTTGTGAAGAAAGACCGTCCATCATTAAACAGAGGTGGAGGCCTCCGTTTTCAGTTGTCCCCCTCCTACAGCGCTGCTATTGCCAGCATCACTCCACCCCCTGTTAACAATAAGTGTTAATTAGGTGTCAACGATAGCCATGTGATGTGAGTATCAGTCACATGGAGGCAGTGCTTAAAAGCCTGAATTTTGCCTGAAACTCTCAGACTGAAGAAGTCTCTTGGAGGAGAGACGAAACGTTAATTTTTTTCTTTTTGATTTTTTACCTGGATTACTGAGATGCATCAGGACGCAAGCTAAAAATCATGTTTAGATAAATGGTAGTTAATGCTAAAAGTTGCATAACTGTAATTAAAGTCAAATGGCTAGCTAAACAGTAAAGTAGCTAAACTGTAAAGTTACAATTAGCAAAAAAACATTTAAAATCATAAAATAAAACATTAGTTAAAACTCAAAGTAGCAAAATCCAGCTAAAAGTAGGTAAATTCATAAAAATATTTAAGCTAAAAATAGAACAATGCGAGCTAAAAGTAGCCTAACAATGAGTAGTAAAAGGTTAGCTACACTAAACGCTATAAGTAGCATAAAAAGAGTTGTTGAAGCAGATTTCTAAAAGATGCTGAAACTATAAGTTGTAGTTCTTGTTTCCTGATTGAATAAAACAGCTGAAACTGAAGCAGCTAAAAGAACCAAGAGCTTTTTAAAGGTCTTGTCTCTTTAAAAAAAAAAAGAGACGCTGGATTCCTCTGAGCTTCAGTTCCTCGAGACGTAAACATCCCAATACGTCAAGTAAAAGAGGAAACCGAGGCGCAGACGTGACTTTTACTGTTCGTCTCGTCAGAAAGGTGTGGCCCCAGGTCTGCGGCGGCGCCCCGACCCCCGGGGGACCCCGGTGGCGGCGGCAGCAGCGGCGTGGCCCCTGACCGCCAGGCGCTGAAAGAGTCTGACCCGAACGAAGGCCCGAGGCGAGGCAGGAGATTAACAACGTGCTGCATCTGGAAACAGGTCCTGTTCGCCGACAGTAAATAGTGTCAGACCAGGACCAGGACCAGGACCACGCCGAGCCGGACCGGACCCGGGCGTTAAGAGGTGTCATTAATAGAGCGACTACAGGTAGAGCAGCAGTCGGGAAATATTTCAGACATTTAACACCAGAACACAAGCGTTAAAAAGTCAGACTTGAACTCCACGACTGACTGGACCAGTCTGGAACTGGTCCAGTCTGGAACTGGACCAGTTACTGTGAAATAAATATGCTCCTGAACATTCCTCCTCTGGTGACAAGAAGCTGTTTGTTGTTTGAATCAACCGCCATCTTGAAAACTTCCTCATCTTCAACTCTCAGCTAAAACCACACCAAACTTCAGCTCATAGTCATAAAACTGAGTTATAATTATTTTTAAATCTAAGTCATTAAGAAAAACATCAGTTTTATGAACAATGACCTGGAAGTAGCTGTGGTAGTAGCTGAGTCATTAAAAACATAACCTGACCATGTCTCTGTGGTTTTAGCTCCTTTTTCCTGCATCACTGACGTGTTTTGAGTTTAACGTGGCCAACGTGCTTCTGTCTATACAGTTTTTTTCTCTGTCAAACTTCTGAATAAATTTAGATAAAGTTTGTTTCAATATCTAGTGTTAGTCCCCAAGCTAATACATACATAGTGGGTAAAATAAGTATTGAACACGTCACCATTTTTCTCAGTAAATATATTACCAGAGGCGCTAATGACATGAAATTTTCACCAGATGTTGGTAACAACCCAAGTGATCCATACATACAAAGAA